TATATATATAGATATATATAGATATCTATATATATCTATATATATATATATATATATAGATATCTATAGATATCTATATATATAAGGGAAGGAATGTCAGGTTTGTGTAATTTCTTGTGAAGTATTAATTCTTTCTGTAGGATATTGTGTCACAGAATAAGAGAAACTGTAATTTTTTATATATAGTTTATAAACAGAATACTGTCAAGTGTTTTTTTTTTTTTAGAGCCAAATATATATTGTTGCTCCATGCAAACTTTATTTCTTAGATTATTAAAATGACTTTAAGATTTTCAGATCGTGAGTTAAACCAGCAACCTTTTTGATCGAAAGAGCCATTTCTGCCATTTTGCTCACCAAATACTAAAATGTCTGGAGACGCAACACCTGCTTATCAACTGGTGGCCCATGGGCCACTTAGAGGTCACTGGAGGACAGCTTTTCTGGCCCTATGGGGTGACATAAAACTAAAAATATGAGTTTTTACATGTATTCAATTAAGTATACCACTTTTAAGTGGTGTAAGGGTGCCGAAAAATTAATCCCTTTGCTGGACAAGTTTTTTTTTTTTTTTTTGTAAGTCACCATAAGCCTTGAGGTCGGAGAAATTAAGTAGCTAAATTCAATCACATATGGGACACGCATGTCACATATTGACAGAAAACTGCATTTTCAACCTCAAAACTAGCGTTTTGGATTATGTCATGCTGCCGTATTCATTCGTACCCATCCGCTCACCACAGGCTCATGTTCAGGCTGCTGTTACGCCGTATTGTTCTGCATTATTAGTGTTTAGCTGGATCTTTTGGCGTGACGTTTGTCGTACATCTTAGATCCTTATACACCGTTTCTTATTACGCTTTGCATTTTTGCTATTGTTGGATGTAACTGGGACCCTGTGTACATAATTTCATTCCACCTTGTGTACCACATGTGACGAGAATGACAATAAACCTGACTTGGATTTTCGGTTGCGGGTATAAAAATAATAAATCAAATTAAATATCACGCTAGTTTTGGTCAAAGCTTCAAAAGGGCCACAGACGAGAGGCTTAGGAGCCGCATGTGGCCCCAGAGCCGCAGGTTGCAGATCCCTGGCAAGTCTTTCTCCTGCAGTTCTGTAAATTAAAACAGAAACTTCCCCAATCTGCTTAACAACACAACGGATTAAATGTTTACATCTGCTGGGTTACCAGTAAAACCTAATGGTTATGAAGGTGTTTAGCCCACATCCGGTTCAGATCTCCTCACAAACCTGCACGTCTATAAAAAGCACGCGTGTAAAAAAAAAAAAAAAAGAAGTTTGTGCAGATTTGCAAAAAAGTGTCGACACTTGCAGAGTGCGAGGTGTTAACTTACCATTGCAAACTTCCAAACTGAGCAGAGGACACAACTCCATGATTGTCTTTTAAAGAACCACACAGGATGAGCAGCACTGGTCGTCGCCGTTTGGTGTGGAGGCATAGTTCATCTGTCGGACTATCTCTGCGAACAGTTCGTCCACAGAGCTTTTATTTTTGGCTGAAGTTTCCATGAACGGGCAGCTCCACTCGTCCGCCAGCGCCTTCCCCTCCCCGGACGACACCTCCCTCTCCCCCTCCAGGTCCACTTTGTTTCCGACCAGAATCATCGGCACCCGCTCGTACCGTTTGACCCGGATGATCTGGTCTCGCATCGGCTTGATGTCCTGGAAGCTCTGCTGGTTCACCAGGCTGTAGACCAGGATGAAGCCCTGGCCGTTCTTGATGTACAGGTCCCGCATGGAGGCGAACTGCTCGGTCCCCGCCGTGTCCAGGATCTCCAGCACGGACGGAGACGAGTCCACCTCGATCTCCTTCCTGTAGAAATCCTCTATCGTTGGGTCGTATTTCTCTATGAAAGATCCCGTCACAAACTGGACTGTTATTGCGGACTTCCCGACGCCCCCGGACCCCAGAACCACTACTTTGTACTCTCTCATGGCTCTCAAGAGCAGCCGACACTCCGCTTCCTCTCCGCTGTGAACCCGCTAACCGCCCCGCTGGCTTTCAAACCGCTCACCGTCAACTGTCGCCGGTTCGGACGGTAAACACGGATATTTTCCGAGCCACGCTCAACATTTAAATTGTTGCATGTTGAGTGCCAGTCGACAGCCCAGCCGGTTCTTGTCTAAGCAGTCCCCCGTTTTCGTTCACGCCAGCCACTGTGTGTCGGTTGCTCTCTGTGGCAGACTTAAATCGCACGCGATATTAAGCAACTACTTCCTTTTTGGATTTTCAAAATAGATTCACTCATGACAACTCTCTTTGTAAAAAAGCCAACTCAACGACGATACATACACATGTTCAACAGTAAAATATGAAAGCATATTCTTATTAAAATCTGGTAGTTTTCCCATAAATATTTAGAGGTAACATTATTCTTATTAAAATTTGAATATTTCACTTCCTGTATGATCCTGTTTTATTTTATCGAACTTGACGACACGAGCGCTTCCTGCCTGAATTCAGCACGTATTTTGCGTCTTACGTCACTCCAGTGTTTTGTTAAAGGTGCAGTAGGGCTGTTATCAGTCAACGCAGACACTACCCCGATTATCTACGAAGCAGCTGCCACACCTTAGTTTCGACATCACCGAATCTTGGGCTTACAAATTCTTGAGTCATTGAAAAACTTACTGGAAAGGTCTATCTGTTGAGATATTTTAGTCAGCTTGTTGCATAAGTTTGACATGAAGTGAGTCTGTAGCCTTTTACCCACTTTAGTTCCCCAGAAAAGTTGCACTATTCTAAAAAATCACTTCTTGAGTCAAGATGCTTAAATATATAAAGTTTGGACTTTATGGTATTGCTAAATACCACCCATTCAAAATGGTAAAAAGTTTATTTTTTGTGCTATTAAATAATCCTCGTGCATATGTATATGAGCAAACGTGTCTGACATGACAAAAAGAGAAGACAAACAGCAGAGAAGCGTCACCATTATGGTGAACCACGTGACTCAGGGTTCGTTTCTTTAATCAACCCTCAGTATCAGATAGACTTTTGTTTCCTTCTTCATGAACTCTGATCCACTATAGACATGAGGAACAGTGTGTGTGTGTGTGTGTGTGTGTCCTTGTTTATGCTACTTTGTGAGGCCCATTTTTCCAACTTATACTACATTGTGGGGACCAACTGCTCCTTATGGGGCCCAAAGCCCGGGCCCCATAAGAAGAAGTCCCGTTGGTGGGTTAGGGGCTAGGTTTAGGACTAAGGTGTGAATTGAGGATGTGTTAGGTTTAGGGTTAGGTATGTACTGGTAATGGTTAGGTTATGGATAAAGGTCATGGTTAGGCTATAGAAATGAATGAAAAATGAATGGAAGTCAATGCAAAGGCCCCACAAAGATAGCAAAACAAACCTGTGTGTGTGTGTGTGTGTGTGTGTGTGTGTGTGTGTGTGTGTGTGTGTGTGTGTGTGTGTGTGTGTGTGTGTAAGAGAAGTCAGAAAAATGTCCACGTTGAGTCAAGTGAAAAGTGAAGGCAAGGCAAGTGGAATATCGTTTTTTCATCTTTACTTCATGGCTTATGAACACCTACTTAACAACTAACTAACTACTTAAGCAACAGGGATGATCATTTTTAATTGATTTCTGTTTTGGTGTTACATTTTTCTGCCACAAGAGGGAGCTAAAGTGTAAGAAAAGTCAGAAAAATGTATTTTGAGTCAAGTGAAAATTGAAGGCAAGGCAAGTGGAATATAATTATTTTATCTTTACTTCATGGCTTGTAAACACCTGTTTACTGAACAACTAACTGACTAACTAACTAACTAACAACTTTTAAGCAACAGGGATGAGCATTTTTAATTGATTTCTGTTTTGGTGTTATATTTTTCTACCACAAGAGGAAGTTAAAGTGAGTACTGAACACTGGTACATAAAGGAATGTGCTCAAAACAGTTCAGACATGCTAGAAAAACAGCTGCTTAGGCTTATACTGTACTAGAAAAGTCATTATTACCCTCAGTCACTTTGTACAATAATAAAAAAAAACTCTAGAATTAAAAACTAAAAAAGTATGTTAGACAGAATAATTAGCCATACTTTGTGTCGATCCAGTGTTTACATTAGAGGAACTTGGAGATTTGTTTTTCATTCATTCAACCTTTATTTAGACAGGTAAATCCCATTGAGCCTCAAAGACTCATTTACAAGAGAGACCTGATTTTAACAAAGAATGATGACAACTGTGAATGTAAAAGTGACTGAAATCCCTTTTAACTATTGTTTTATTGTCATTATTTAAACATACAAACAATATAATAATATCTTCATAAAATGCAAAGGTAATGAATATGTTAGGAAATAAAAAAAACTATCAGGGAGTTGAGAAATAAAAGAAAATAGGTGAAGATATCAAGATATCAAAACAAGTAGGATAACATTAAAGTTGACAAAATGATATTGACAAGATGGATGAATATGGATAGATAATAATAATAAATAAAATTTTGTTGTGAGAAGTGATGAAAAAAATCTTGGTAACCCAGAATAATTTATTTGGTTTATTTTTGTCATACTTTATTTGGCCACAAGAGGGCAATGTGCAGCTTTTGACCCTTCACGTTACAAACGTTTGTACCAGTAGATGGCAGCATTGTGACATCATAAACATTAGCAAGCAGGATAAAAACGACGAAGAAGACTTCCACAACAACATTTAGGCTAACATAGGTTAGCTAGCAGAGTTGTAAAATGATTAGGCGTTATTCTTAGAGCTTCTAATATCTCACCTTTCTGCAAAAGTGTTCGGTGTTTTTTCGACGGGACATGTCGGATAAAGAAAGCGGAAAAGGGAAGGACAGTCCCGGAGAGAAAGGCTTCAGGATCCCCGGGCTGAGGGGGGCGCAGACCACCACGCTGTTCCGCGCTGTCAACCCTGAACTCTTCATCAAACCTGTGAGATGCTAACAAAAGACTAGCTATTTGTATGAATTGAGTAGCAACGACAGAGTATAAACTTTATATATAATATATAGTCGTTTAAATCAAACTTTAACAATTCCGTCACTATTTTCCGTTAGCCTTATCTTTAAATATGTTTTTAAAGATGAGTTAAGAGCGCGTTGGTCACGTGACGTGATTCATTGGAGGGACGGGAGCCAATTTTAATGATAATATTAATATATAAACTAATCCATGTAAAAATGCCACAAAGCTGTGTCCGCCAAGGTTGTACCAACCGAAGAGAAAAAGGAAAACTAATTTCACAGGTCAGCAGATTTGATCTTATTTACCTCAATGTGAACTGACCCTAGCTAATAATGTTAACTTCTTAAAATTAGTCTATAAGCACTATACTGAACTATGTTACAATGCAGCACATATTAAATGGTACAACCTGGTATTGCCTCTGATTTATGTAATATTTACAGTGTAATATAGTTTTGACTTCCTTTACACAAACCTGACTTGTTGAGAAGACAGTTATCAGTAGACAAGTTTCATCCTTCAAAGTATCTCCGAGTATTCAGTTGACATTTTGTGTCGACTACAGAACATAAACAATGATAAATATACGTTGTTCCAATACCGTTATGCATTACCCTTTATATGTAATTTATGAGTTGTGTTGACTGACTTCAGATCTAATTTAGATCACAATATCCTTGTATATGAATGGTTCACGATTGTTGAATGAAACTATCATGATCAATTATATTAATTTATTGTAAAATGATACAAATAATTTGCGACACAGGTCTTGCGGTTAATCAGATGTTTGCTTTATTGGCTGTGAGCTGTTGCCATCTTTGCTCCTCCACAGGGAGCGCACTGTCTAGTTGTCCTGTTTAACTTTATGCTTTCACCTCAACATTTTAGTCCAAACCAAGTTACAGACACAGAAAGAGACCGTCTTTTTTGACATTTCCACACTAGTTTAACAACAAAGTGGATTTAAACTAGCGTTAGATGTGGCAACTGCTTCATCTGGAAGGAAACTACTGTGAAACGTTGATGGAAATCCTAGTATTTTTCATTTTGTAACTTTTAACCGAGCTGTATTGTTTTGCAGAACAAGACAGTGATGGCGTTTGGACTGGTGACCATCACTTTGAGTGTGGGTTATCTGGGTTACATGCATGCAATGAAAGAAAATGACCAGCAGCTTTATGAGGCCATCGACAGCCAAGGAGAGAGATGCATGAAGAAGAAGACTTCCAGATGGGACTGATGACACTGCAATGTGTGCTACACTGTGTGACTGCAAACATGAAAATAATGCGTTGTAAAGAGGGAGTGACTAAATAAAGACACATTGAGTGAGTTCTGAACTGTCTGATGCTGCAGCGAGTGTTCAAGTTTAAATTTGGATATTAAAGTGCTCCAAACTAGTTAGTAAAAAGTGAACATTTTCTCATTCCAACATTAAGAAGCAGGTCAGCAATGAGCTTATTTTTAACTGTAAACACAAACATATATGGTGTAATTAACTTTTTCAACTTGTGTATAAAAAGACACAAATGTTTATGCACGTGAATGTTTTCACATTAGTTTTTTGGTGTCACTTCTGCCCTGCAAAGTACAAACCGGATTCCAAAAAAGTTGTGACACTAAACAAATTGTGAATAAAAACTGAATGCAATGATGTGGAGGTGCCAACATCTAATATTTTATTCAGAATAGAACACAAATCACAGATCAAAAGTTTAAACTGAGAGAATGTATCATTTTAAGGGAAAAATCTGTTGTTTCCAAATTTCATGGCGTCAACAAATCCCAAAAAAGTTGGGAGAAGTCCATTTTTACCACTGTGTGGCATCCCCCTTCTTCTTACAACATTCAACAGACATCTGGGGACAGAGGAGACCAGTTTCTCAAGTTTAGAAATAGGAATGCTCTCCCATTCATGTCTAATACAGGCCTCTAACTGTTCAATCATCTTGGGCCTTCTTTGTCGCACCTTCCTCTTTGATGCGCCAAATGTTCTCTATAGGTGAAAGATCTGGACTGCAGGCTGGCCATTTCAGTACCCGGATCCTTCTCCTACGTAGCCATGATGTTGTGATTGCTGCAGAATGTGGTCTGGCATTATCGTGTTGAAAAATGCAGGGTCTTCCCTGAAAGAGAGGACGTCTAGATGGGAGCATATGTTGTTCTAGAACCTGAACATAGTTCTCTGCATTAATGGTGCCTTTCCAGACATGCAAGCTGCCCATGCCACAAGCGCTCATGCAACCCCATACCATTAGTGATGCAGGCTTCTGAACGAAGCGTTGATAACAACTTGGGCTATCCTTGTCCTCTCTGGTCCGGATGACATGGCATCCAGAACTTCAAATCGTGACTCATCTGACCACAGAACAGTCTTCCATTTTGCCACACTCTATTTTAAATGACCCCTGGCCCAGTGCAAATGTCTGAGCTTGTGGAGCTTGCTTAGAAATGGCTTCCTCTTTGCACTGTAGAGTTTCAGCTGGCAACGACGGATTGTGTTCACTGACAATGCTTTCTGGAAGTATTCCTGAACCCATTCTGTTATTTCCTTGACAGTGGCATTCCTGTTTGAGGTGCAGTGACGTTTAAGGGCCCAGAGATCACGAGCATCCAGTAGAGTTTTACGGCCTTGACCCTTACGCACAGCGATTGTTCCAGATTCTCTGAATCTTTTGATGATGTTATGCACGGTTGATGATGATAACTTAAAAGTCTTTGCTATTTTACGCTGGGTAACACCATTCTGGTATTGCTGCACTACCTTTCTGCGCAACAATGGTGGAATTGGTGATCCTCTTGCCATCTTGGATTCTGAGAGACACTGACACTCTGAGAAGCTCTTTTTATACCCAATCATGTTGTCAATTGACCTAATTAGTGTTAATTGGTCTTCCAGCTGTTCGTTATATGCTCAATTTTCTTTTTCCAGCCACTTATTGCTACTTGTCCCAACTTTTTTGGGATTTGTTGACACTGTGAAATTTTGAATCAACATATTTTTCCTTTAAAATGTTACATTTACTCAGATTAAACTTTTGATCTGTCATCTATGTTATATTACGAATAAAATATTGACATTTGCCATCTCCACATCATTGCATTCAATTTTTATTCACAATTTGTTTAGTGTCCCAACTTTTTTGGAATCCGGTTTGTACAAACATGATTATTTTACAAGATGACCGCTCCGATATTGTCTAATAAATCCAATCCAGTCGTATCATTTTCAAACTGATGTCAATTGGAACAACGCTAAAAATTTCCACTTGCCTTCACAGTTGATGTCTCTGTAAACAAGCACAAACTACTGTTCTAAATGAAGTTTGTGTTTTATTTAACAGCAAAAATACAAAAGTCAAATTTAGCATAAACAGATAAACTGGATCGACAAGCGCTGCGTCATCATCTGGCTTTCTCATCCTGCAAAAAGAAAGAAAGCAGTTCAGTTTTTTTATTCAAACTAGAATTTAAAAAGGACAAAATGGATTGGGGCGATACCTTAATAACACGAGCCAGCTCTTGCAGGATTTGTTCATACCGGGCTTCCATACCCTTTAGGGACGCTGGTTTAACCACTTGCTTTTGGATCCCAGCGCTTCCTGCTTCCGCCACCATTTGAAGGAAATTCTTTTCCTAAGTGAGGCGATAAACAAATTTTTGTACTACATCATATTGCATCTTACTATGGTGCATCAAATATAAAGTTACATATTTTATATCATAAAGTGTATCAAATCATAGCTTGCATCACATCATATATCTTTGAATCGTATGTCATGAGGTACACCCTTTCCCCTCATGATGACATGTTCCTCTTTTAGTGTGTTTAAAAAGTTTTCACACCACTGGATATTGTTTAAGACATAACCATGCTTTAAACAGTTCACCTTTATCCCTGATCAGTCTGGTGTGTTCCTTAGTCTTCATGATGCTGTTTGATCAATAATATACTGAAGCATTTTACACTACTGTTCCACCTGGGTGTATCCCAGGTGCGATTGCTTAAATGCAGACAACTAATTTCGCCATTGTATGGGAACATACGATGGTGACGACACATAGCACTTACTTAAACACAGATGGACTATTTACTCATTACTTATGTCCATGTAAACATAGCTAATGAGGGCTATTTATGCATACATGAAAACTCAATAGGGATGAAAAAGGTGACAAACCTAGTGCCCCCCACCCCCGAGGGAAAATATTTTGTGGTTTTTTTTTTTTAATACGTAAATTACTGTTAAGCATTCTGGTGTACTTCAAGAAGAAAATTGGGGGGAAAGACTTCAGGTAAAAAAGACATTTACAAACATCTTAATTTATTTTTATTTATTTTATTAACCTTTATTTATCCAGGCAAATCCCATTGTGGTCACAGATCTCTTTTGCAAGGGAGGCCTGGGCCTGAAGGCAGCCTAACATGTTTTTGATCTGTGGGAGGAAACTGGAGTACCCGGAGAAAACCCATGCAAGCATGAGAAGAACATGCAAACTCCTCAGAGAAAGACCCCAGGTCCAAGTGGGGATTGAACCCAGGACCTTCTTGCTGTGAGGCAACAGTGCTAACCACTGCACCTTCGTGCTGCCAAATTTAATGAAGTCATACATAGGAAAGATGGCGTCAACCAAAAAATAAACGAGCACCAACAGCAGCAAGCCAACCAGAGACACCAAATATAGCAGAGCATTTAGCTAACAGCAAAAACGAATTTCTTAAATGTTAATGTAGCACGAAGCTAGCCACGTGCAATACTGATGCAATAGCTAAGATGCTGCAGACGTAGTGCTCCGCTTCTGTCATGCATCCTAACACCCCCTCCGGTCAACAACTGCCATCACTAACATAGCGGTAAGCTAACGTGCAACATGGAGGTGTCTCCTCCCCCCACCCCATCGACAAAACCCCTCGAAGAGATTAGTGCCCTGCTAAGTCAAGTGACCAAGGAGGAAAGCTGTTTCTTAAAGGGAAATTATGCCATCCACCACGCCTCTGACCCCCCCACCCCCGAAAACAAAACAAAAAAAAAAACCCTCTTCAAATCGACATGATTCACGTAAATGACATATTTTAGTTGGAAATCGGCGAATTTCGCCAAAAAGCGACAACTTTGCAGGTATGTTTATGGCACAGATCTGAGTTGGCAGGCCGCAGACTGATTAAGTCTTTCAGGTAAAAGACGAAACATTTCTCCCTTAAAGAAACTGGTCCAGACGACATGATTTAACCTCTTTTTTTTCTCGAGGCAGTGCATCACACTAGGTTGAATACTGTACCTGTACTCTGAGCAGTAAAGTGAAGGCCAGTCCTGCCTTTCCTGCTCTTGCTGTCCTTCCGATCCTGCACGACAACAACAACAAAAAAGACAAATCAGCATCACTTCAAGTTCAAGTAGGTTTAATTATCATTTGTATCACATGTGGTATATGAGGTGGAACGAAATTGTGTACACAGGGTCCCAGTTAAATTCAACAATAGCAAAAATATAAATTGTAAAAAGAGTAATAAGGATCTAAGATATAAACTAAGAAATACGCTAAACACTAATAGTGCAAAACAATACGCCGAACAGCAGCAGCGCAAACATGAGTCTGTGTGAGTAGATGAGTACGAATGAATACAGCAGCATGAAATAATCAGAGTCAGAGTTTCTTTATTGTCATTCGCACCTCATGTGGTACATGTGGTGGAGCGAAATTATGTACACGGGGTCCCAGTTACATCCGACAATAAAATGTATAATAAAAACAGTAATAACATCCAAGATATGAACCAAGAAAAACATCAACTAAATATACACTAAGCACTCATAACATAAAACATTGAACATCAGCACAAACATGAACATGAGTCTGTGAGCAGATGTGCACGCATGAACACATCAACATTGAAACAGATCAGCAGCAACATGAAACAGAAACAGATCAGCAGCAACATGATATGGTTTCTCACAGTGACTATTCTAGTTAGAGATTCATGAGTCTAACAGCCTCAGGGTAGAAGCTGTTCCTCAGTCCAGTGGTTCCACACTCAATGCTCCTTAACCTCCTTCCTGAGGGGAGCGGGGCACAAAGTGCGTGTGCTGGGTGGGTGGGGTCCTTCATGATGCAGGTGGCCCTCCTCCTGCATCTGGAGGTGTAGATGTCTGTGATGGTGGGGAGACTGATTCCAACAGATTTCTGTGCAGCCTTCACCACTCCCTGCAAAGCTTTTCTTTCTGCAGCTGTGCAGAAAGCTGTTCAGCAGCATGAGATCAGCAGCATGGATAATCAGCAGCACATATCACCAATCAAAGTTGCGATTACAGTGATTTTTTTTCATCAGTGATAATACTGAAAAGAGATTTATGAGTCCAACAGCTTCAGGGTAGAAGCTGTTCCTCAGTCTAATGGTTCTGCACTTAATGCTCCACAACCTTCTGCCTGAGGGGAGCGGGAAGTGAAGAAACTCGTCATTGGGAAAAGAACGGAAATGATATGAAGTGTCGCTATAAACCTTTAGAAAACGGAGCTGCTCACCTGTGAATGTACGTCCTGATGTACTGCGGAGCGTCGTAATTCACAACGCATTTGACGCCGCTGATATCGATGCCTCTGGTAGCTGCATCAGTGCTGATCAACCTATTGGACAAAGTGGGATCTATTATTTATCTTCTACAGGAAAGTGCTTCATAACTTGTTTAATTTATGTTATAGAAGTCATTATTAAATAACTGCGCAGACGAAAACTATCTAGCAGAGCTCTGTACTTTGCTTGAGTTGACAACCCAAAAGTTGCACGCCGAGACTCACAGCTGGATCTTCCCTTGTTCAAAGCTCTTCAGGGTCTTCTTCCTCTCACCGGGTGAGAGTCTGGAGGAGAACTCGGCTGACTGGACTCCACCGAAGAGATTCACTAACAGGTACAGTCTGGGAGATGTAAAGTTCGCACAGCTAAAAGAACACAGCAGCGGGTTCTGTGAAAATGTCAGTGATGTGATAAAAACCTGCATCCGACCTGTGTGCCGCCTCTCTGGAGTTGGTGAAACAGAGGATGGGGTAGAGCTTCATGTACAGGATGAAGTGAAGGATGAGGAGGGGCTTCTTGTCCATCGTACAGGAAATAAAATACTCCTGAATACACAAAAGTACTCATCTTCATCAATCGCATAACATCATTTCTCCACTTCCACTTGACTGGTTAAATGTCTCTTTACCGTGAGGCCTTGGGGAAAGACAAAGCGGTCTTGTTTCTGGGAGGAGTCCATTGCAGTGTTGTTGGAGGAGCTGTGAACGGAGCTGAAGAGCCGGGGCTGGTGGAGGTCCAGCTGCTGCAGCTTCTCCGGGTTCTGAGTGAGAGTGGCTGAAAATAGCAACTTCTGCAGCGGCATCTGAGGTGGAGACAAACTGAGAAGAAAAGCAGACTGATGCAGCTTTTCTTATACTTTTCACCTGCCACCATGAGAGGCAAGTTATGTTGTGTAATAAGTGATAATTGATTGTGTGTGTTTGTCTGTTAGCAAAATATCTCATTCACTACTGCATGGATTTTAATAAAACTTTCAGAGATTAATCGTTGGGAGTACATGAACCACCGATTAACTTTTGGAGTCAACACAATCCAATATGGCTGCCAAAGCTAATCATATTTGGTAGACACAAAAATAGCTATAACTCAGTTAATTTTAAATAAATTGTATTCAAATTTGGTGTGCTAGTAGATGAGAGTAATCCTTAACATATATTATGAGTGCTAACAGATCGTGTGAGATCTTTAACGTTTTTTTTAATAAAAAAGGTAGTGAGCTGTACGCAGCGTTACCTTCAAGAAGTGATAGTTTTAGCTGATTCTTTTTGGCTGCTGTCACTATTGTGCAGCTAGAAGACAGGTGCTTCAGTCTTCACATTTCAGACATTATGCTGAAGATCTCAAACTACCTCCAACAATTTGAAAAAGACAAGGTAATTAATAGATCAATTTACCACAGATATCCAGGAGAAGCCATTCCATGTGTATTGTTAGGGGGATTTAGATAAAGGTTATGGATGTTTATTACAAGTACACAAGAATACAATGATTTTTATGGTCATTCACATCATATGTGGTACATAAGGTGGAATGAAACTGTGTACACAGGGTCCCAGTTATATCCAACAAAAATACAAATTGTAAAGAAAAACATTAGTAAGATCCAAATCATGAACTAAGAATATACTACATCAGGCATGGGTAAACCCTGGTCCGTGGGCCATATAAGGCCCGTTGGGCATTTTAATTGGCCCGCCGAAATAGTCCAAAATTTGGAAAAAAAAAAAATTATATACATATATATATATTTTTTAAATACTTTATTTTTCAGGGGTGCTGAGGTAAAATTTAGGGGTGCTTAAGCACCCCAAAAAAGAGGTTAAAATCGCCACTGGTTCAAATTATATACAAACCGGATTCCAAAAAAGTTGGGACACTAAACAAATTGTGAATAAAACTGAATGCAATGATGTGGAGATGGCAAATGTCAATATTTTATTTGTAATATAACATAGATGACAGATCAAAAGTTTAATCTGAGTAAAGGTAACATTTTAAAAGAAAAATATGTTGATTCAAAATTTCACAGTGTTAACAAATCCCAAAAAAGTTGGGACAAGTAGCAATAAGTGGCTGGCAAAAGGAAATTGAGCATATAATGAACAGCTGGAAGACCAATTAACACTAATTAGGTCAATTGACAACATGATTGGGTATAAAAAGAGCTTCTCAGAGTGTCAGTGTCTCTCAGAATCCAAGATGGTAAGAGGATCACCAATTCCACCATTGTTGCGCAGAAAGATAGTGCAGCAATACCAGAATGGTGTTACCCAGCGTAAAATAGCAAAGACTTAAGTTATCATCATCAACCGTGCATAACATCATCAAAAGATTCAGAGAATCTGGAACAATCGCTGTGCGTAAGGGTCAAGGCCGTAAAACTCTACTGGATGCTCGTGATCTCCGGGCCCTTAAACGTCACTGCACCTGAAACAGGAATGCCACTGTCAAGGAAATAACAGAATGGGCTCAGGAATACTTCCAGAAAGCATTGTCAGTGAACACAATCCACCGTGCCATCTGCCGTTGCTAGCTGAAACTCTACAGTGCAAAGAGGAAGCCATTTCTAAGCAAGCTCCACAAGCTCAGACGTTTGCACTGGGCCAGGGGTCACTTAAAATGGAGTGTGGCAAAATGGAAGACTGTTCTGTGGTCAGATGAGTCACGATTTGAAGTTCTTTATGGAACACTGGGACGCCATGTCATCCGAACCAGAGAGGACAAGGATAGCCCAAGTTGTTATCGACGCTCCGTTCAGAAGCCTGCATCACTGATGGTATGGGGTTGCATGAGCGCTCGTGGCATGGGCAGCTTGCATGTCTGGAAAGGCACCATTAATGCAGAGAACTATGTTCAGGTTCTAGAACAACATATGCTCCCATTTAGACGTCATCTCTTTCAGGGAAGACCCTGCAGTTTTCAACACGATAATGCCAGACCACATTCAGCAGCAATCACAACATCATGGCTACGTAGGAGAAGGATCCGGGTACTGAAATGGCCAGCCTGCAGTCCAGATCTTTTACCTATAGAGAACATTTGGCGCATCATAAAGAGGAAGGTGCGACAAAGAAGGTCCAAGACGATTGAACAGTTAGAGGCCTGTATTAGACATGAATTTTTTCATTTTTTTTTTTTTTTTCATTTAGCCTTTATTTATCCAGGTTAGTCTCATTGAGCCACGAGAACTCATTTTCAAGAGAGACCTGTTTAGGGAGCACATGGTGGGGGTTAAGGGGGTTAAAAGAATGGGAGAGCATTCCTATTTCTAAACTTGAGAAACTGGTCTCCTCTGTCCCCAGACGTCTGTTGAGTGTTGTAAGAAGAAGGGGAGATGCCACACAGTGGTAAAAGTGGACTTGTCCCAACTTTTTTGGGATTTGTTGACGCCATGAAATTTGGAAACAACAGATTTTTCCCTTAAAATGATACATTCTCTCAGTTTAAACTTTTGATCTGTGATTTGTGTTCTATTCTGAATAAAATATTAGATGTTGGCACCTCCACATCATTGCATTCAGTTTTTATTCACAATTTGTTTAGTGGCCCAACTTTTTTGGAATCCGGTTTGTAAAAAAAAACCCACCTGAATTTAATAGGGAAAAAAATTGTGTCGTTTTACCTGTAGTTCCAGCATTTCCCCAGTAGAGGCGCACTACAGACACTGGCGTGTATTATGGCCCGGCCCTTCGCTCCAATTTTAGAACTCAATGTGGCCCACGAGTCTGAAAGTTTGCCCACCCCTGTACTACATTCACTAAACTAAGAATACACTAAGCACTAATGGTACAAAAACAATGCGCCAAAACAACAGCAGCATGAACATGAGTCTGTATGAGCAGATGAGGACTAATGAACACAGCAACATGAAGTAATTAGCAGCATGAGATCAGCATCATGGACAGTCAGCAGCACAGATCATAAAAAAACCCCTCTTCAGATCTAGACGATTCACGTAAACGACGTATTAAAGCGACAAGTTTGCAGGTACGTTCACAGAGGTGACCAAAATCTCTCTCTGTGAGCCAGGCAGACAAAGAGCCTAACGAGCCTCCATTGTGAGGGGCGAGTAGTTCCAGTGTAATCTGATCAATGATTTATTCTTCAATTAAATTCAATTAAAAATCCAGTTTTTATCACTTGCAACAACTGGCCAAGGTCAAAGCATCATTTCACAGCATCAGTTTGAGATTTTAATCCATGCTTTTATTACAACTCTTTTAGAAAACAGCAACACACTTCATGTGGGTCTGAGCCTTAATCCTGACTGGACTTCTGGTTCAGAATGCTGCTGCTCGCCTTTTAACTGGTAGCAGAAACGAGAGAATCAACCCAGTTTTAGAATCACTACATTGGCTCCCAGTTCGTTTCCGGAACAATTTTAAGGTTCTGTTTTTAAATGTCGCCGTGGTCTCGCCCCTCAGTATATGTCCGACCTGCTCCAGCTGCTCGTTCCCTCACACTCTCAGGTCGGCAGATCAGTCGCTGCTGGTCGTCCAAAAGTCGGGGAGGAGGCTGAGAGGTGACCGAGCGTTTTCAGTCGCTGCCCCTAAACTGTGCAACAAGCTGCCTTTGAACGTCGAGACACTTCCTGTTTTTAAATCTTTTCTTAAAACACTTTATGTTGTCTTTGGCTTTTAACTCAGCTTGAGCTGTTGGCGTTTATTGTTTGCTGTTTTTATGGTTTGACTGTTTTAATTGATTGTATCAGGATTTTTTTATTATTACTTTTTTTATTTAGAAATAAATAAAAAAACTACTGATGTCCTAATCAGAGACACGGTTTTAATTTTTCCATCATGACACAGAGTTATGTGTGGGTTTCTCCCTCCGACTCACCTGGCTGCTGTGGAAAAAGCTGCTTCTGTCCTCCTGAAGATGCTCGTGGCTTCTGGTTCGGCTCCTGAGCTGTACACCGCCTTCACAACCTGGCTGAGCCACGACTGGTGCATGCTGTCAATCATCCTGTCAGCCTCATCAATGATCTTAGAAAAGACGTACAACACAAAGATGACTCCCACTGCTCTGTCTGTAAACTTTCATTCTGCTTTGTTGTAGGAACTTACAAGAAACCTGAGCTGCTTCAGACATAATCCGGAGTTTTGGTTGATGTGATCGACCAGTCGACCTGGAGTGGCCACGATTATGTCTGCTGCACTGCGCCTCACGCCCCCTCTGGAAGAGACATCATTAGTAGAGAGGATTTGCAGGTGGTCCAGTCTTTTACAAAGTTAATAATATACTGACATCATCTGATCACAGTTGCAAACTTTAAGCTCAAGCTTTTAAAATACTGCCTGAAATGTATCCACTTTAAAGAACCAACCCGAAGTGTCACCTTACAGATTTGAAGGTTGCACTGTGCTAAGATTTCCAACTATATACTAGGGCTGGGCCATATCATATCGTTCACGATAATACCGGTAAAAAAAAGCTTGCCCGGGAAAATAAACAATATCATGATATGCTAATTTCATGACATGATACGTCACCCCGCTCTAAGCTGCCGGTACAAACGCAGCTCAGCTTTTTTCTCTCCCCCTCACCCCACTCTGAGCTGCTGGTGCGGGCGCAGCTCGGCTGCGTCTCCCCCCGCTCTAAACTGCAGGTTACTTTAGGAAACTGCACTTGCACCTTAGTTTTTGTGGTGGATTTTGTTGATCTATATTTTGTGCAGACTTTTTCAATCTAAATAACAGAAAGATCATTTTTCCATCCATTATCTTTTACCAGCTTCTTCCATTTTGGGTCACGAGGGTCGACAGTGCCCATGTCCAGCAATCACTGTGCGAGGGGCAGGGTACACTCTGAACAGGTCTCCAGTCCATCACAGGGACACATAGAGACAAACAACCATTCACTCTCTCACTCACACCTAGGGACAATGTAGAGTTACCAGTCAGCCTAACATGCATGTTTTTGGTTTGTGGGAGGAAACCGGAGTACCCGGAGAAAACCCACGCGTGCATGGGGACAACATGCAAACTCCACCTAGAAAGGCCCTCGGAACGGGATTTGAACCAGGGACCTGCTCTCTGAGAGGCAGCAGCTCTACCAGTTGTGCCACTGTGATGCAGGATCATTTTTATTTTTTTTTATTTTTTTACTTAGAGGCTGAATACTTTACTAAATAAAGTAATTTCAGCTAAATTAACCCGTTGTTTTTTTAATTTTTATATAATACTGCAAAGCAACATCCATCCATCCGTTATCTTTTACCCGCTTCTTCCATTTTGGGTCACGAGGGTCGCTGGTGCCCATGTCCAGCAATCACTGTGCGAGGGGGCGGGGTACACCCTGGACAGGTCACAAGTCCATCACAGGGACACATAGAGACAAATGAGACAAACAACTATTCACTCTCTCACTCACACCTAGGGACAATTTAAAGTTACCAATCAGCCTAACATGCATGCTTTTGGTCAGTGGGAGGAAACCAGAGTGCAAAGCAACATGCCAAGTTATTTTTTTCAAATAAATAACTATGATTTCTGTTTTTTTTTTATTTTTTTTTTTAGGTTATATCACAAAATGTATCGTTAAATCGGCAGAATGCTCTGAAATATCACAATATTATATTTGAGCCATATCGCCCACCCCTACTATATAGTAAAGAAAATAATAATATTTTTTACTTTTACCATTTGATCTTTATTGTTCAACTGTGAGAGAATATCTTTAAATAGGCAAATGTTCATTGGATTATTATTTTTTTTTTTGCTTTAGTTCAAACCTTTGCTCTGAGAGTGAAGCCTGCTCTGCAACAAACGGCTTCTGACCTGCAAGCATCAGCACTTTCAGGGGAGTTCCATTAGCATATGATGCAAACACTTTGTAAACCTGTACAAATGGACAAGAAGCTTTATTTAGTCATGTCACAAAAATAACTTATTTTGTTCTGTGGAGATCATACCTACTTTAGATGGCTTTTTGAACACCCCAAGTTAACAAAAAGAGGTTCATTCTGACTAGATAAGATGAACTTGCGTTGAGTTTGGAGATAAGATCAAAGTAGATTGCTGCTCTCTGAAAACAACTCCAATCTAAACAAATCACAGCAGTTGATGTGGATGATCGTTTACACATCTTCAAACCACAACCGATTTTACACCACGTTATTCCAGCAGAAATTTTATGTTATTCCTGCAAAAAAAAGTGCCCCAGGCTGCACAGGAAGTGCTACAGTGGGCTACTACTGCAACCGTTCGCACTTGGAAATAATCATATAATTTTATTTAATGAGATTAAGAAGAAATGCATGATTCTTTCAATTAAGATTGTAACTTTAACAATGACTCATCTTGACCAGGTCTCCATAAAAAAAAAAAAGAGATGCTAAATTTAAGGTCCTGGATAAACAAAGGTTAAAAACATGTCATTCAAAACCGATGAAGATGTAAAGGTTTATAAAGTAGGGTTCACTAAACTACTATGAAGGTTTTGAGACTGGAGTTGGTTTATGATGGCAGCAATACCCAAGCTTTGTCGGTTTGGTCTCATTTAAACCTATTTTTCCAGACTCAGGCTGTTCAAAGAGCCATCCACAACAGGTAAGATATTCGTTGTCGTAACCTTTCACAGAACAGCATTTTAAATATCAGAACTACCCCTTGAAGATTAAAAGTTCTAAAAGTTTCTGACCTGCTGGGCAAGCTCTTTGGTTGGCAGCACTGCTAACGCTCTGACTTCACACACCACCCGCTGCATCAGCGCCTGAAAACAATCACAGCGAAGTGTTCATGTGCAGCAAGAACTGCACCAATTAATGGTTTCCTCCAAATAGTAAAAATAGCCGCTCACCTGTATGACAGGTATGACAAATGAAAGAGTCTTGCCACTTCCTGTTGGTGCCGACACACAGATGTCTCTGGGTCTGTAGCCTCCTCCACCTATCAGCAGACCATGCTGTGCCCCCTCTAAGATGGCTGGAATCACCTCTGCTTGCACTACACAAAGATCAGAGTCTTTTCATGTTTCTTTGAAACAATCACAAACCCTTACAACACGAATGATCATACCCAGGTTCAATATTCTGCTTCCCATGCCCCTAAAAACCTTGTGTACACTAAACTGCTTTAGAATGACTTAGTGTAAAAAGTGCTGCAATGATGCAGGTAGGTTACCACACTTATTTATTTTTATTTCAAATGTCTGTGAAATTATCATGAATTTTAGATTTGCTACGAGACATGAAGAAAGTCTTTTCAGGATAACTCTAGGTACAACTGTGAGGTGTCACTTCTTACAGAAGTGAATCACCAGAACCGGCTGAGTGTAATTTTTATTACTTTTTGGAAACTTCACCTGTCTGAGGTTTGAAATGATACAACCACAAAGGTCCAAAACAGAAATGTGATAATTCTTTATGATGATGATTTGATACTCAGCTCTTGGAATTATATTGAATGGTGGAAAACAATGACATACATTGTTAATCAAATCTCAGTTGTTGAGGTTAATAACATGTGTTCAACTTAAACAAAAACACTGTTTGTGAAACCAGCTCCACAATCTAAGCTCCAAATTTCTTAAAAAAAAAAAAAAAGACACACTTTGTTTCTGTACCTGGAAAGAAGTGCTGAATCCCATTACTCTCCAGTTTTTTCAGAAGCTGAGCACAAACCCCTGAGATGGCAGAGACAGGGACTAAGTTGCTTTTAATGTCTCTGTGAATAAAATCCGGCTCAGCGAGCCACTGAGGCAGGACTCTGTGTACCTGTGGACAGAACAATGCTTGGATGAAAAGAATCTTGTACCGGTGAAGACTACCTGGAACTTTCAGCACCATCAGATCACTGTACCTTCTGAAGAGTCTTGCTCTCAAATCCACCAAGAACAGTAAATCCTGCTGGGGCAGACATTTTCTCTGGGCTCTGTTTTGAAATGTTTTTTTCTGTCTCTTCCAGTTTTTGTCCTCCTTTGTTCTCTGCCCCATCTCTTCTGCTCACTGAAGAAACGGCTTCAACTAACTTACCTAAAAATCAGAGACCGACAAAGTGTCCAACATTATCAACAGAATATGTGGGGTAGTTTGGCAGCAGATCAATGTGCCTTTCCCAACACGACATAGGACATCATCGGAAAGACACAAGAAAACAGCTTCATACATAAAAACTCTGCAGACGTCTCATTTTGAAACTACTACCGCCTTTAATTACAAAAGATTTTTCTAATTTAAGAAGCTATAGTTAGGCCTGTCACAATAACAAATTTTGCTGGGCGATTAATTGTCTCAGAAATTATTGCGATAAACGATAATATTATTTGAAATTTGACAATAATTAGTTATTGTCAAATTTTAGAAGAAATGTTGGTTAATTTTTGTGTGTAGTACCTTTTTTGACCACTGGATAGCAGTATAAGACTGTCTGAACTGAATAATGGATAGTGAGCGAGCGAGCAGTGTGTCTCTTTAAGAAAAATGGGAGGGAGGCCCCTTGACGTTCTTGTTTTTCAGTTCTCAAAATGGCAAACGGTGCTTTGAGCTCTTTAGCATAGCATGTCACACAAAGCTTTTAATAAAAAAAAATCAGTAAACTAGTTCTCAGCTTCTTTTTGCAGAGAAAAACAACTTTTTAGACAAAGGCACAGGTTTCAACTGTGAATTTTGGAGCTTCGACAAGACAGAGTTTTTTTTCTCCAAGGTCGGCCTCTTAGCTTAGCTCGTAGATTCGCTTCTCAGCTTGGGTGCTTTTAACGATCCAAAAATGTGATTTTGAACGGTTAAAACAGATTTTAAAGAAAAAAGAGAAAGGGAGGGGTCAGTGAAGAGTCCCGGAGTTGAGCCTTTTGTCATCCAGTGTCTTCAGTAGAAAGAGAGAGACACGAAGAAACGATAAAGCCAATAAATGAAAATGAGGTCAATAATTTTAATTTATCTTGCGATTAACTGATTGCGACAGGCCTAGCTACAGTATATTTAGTTTTCACAATCAGGCAGGTTTTTCAAAAACTCCGACCTTATATTGCCAATATGAATATTGGAGTATGTGGGCATAAAAAGAGGCGGCACAATGGTGCATTTGGTAGATCTGCCACCTCTCAGCCAGAAGGTTGCCAGATTGAATCCCAGCTGGGGGCCTTTCTGGGTGTAGTTTGCATGTTAGGCTGATTGGTAACTCTAAATTGTCCCTAGGTGAGAGTGAATGGTTATCTCTATGCGGCTCTGTGATGGACAGGAGACTTGTCCAGGGTGTCCCTCGCCTCTCGTATAATGACTGCTGGATATGGACACGAGTGACCTCCACGACCCGCAAAGGAAGAAGCGAAAAAAATGACAGATGGATGGATAAATGGGTGGGTATAAAAGGAAAAAAAAAAACAGCTGCCTACAGAGTATCTGTGCATATAAAAGGAGATGGATGCAGTGTTAGTTTAAATGTAAAATGCATTGCAACAAGTTAAGGAACCAAAAATAATTATAAACTAGAAAATAAATTCTTATTGTTACACTAGTGCCAAGCATATTCTATCTGAAGCAGCAAAATCAGCTCTCGTTGACGTAGTTGCGTAACGAAAATTCTGTAATTTTGTTCTCAGAGTGGCTTTGCCCCCTCCTTCTTGATAAGAGGCCTGGGTTGAACTTTTTATCGAAGTATTATGTGATTAGTCAGAAGTTTCTGGGCGTGTTTTTCAATGTGAAAATGCACTCGGACATTCTGCTGTACAACTCCTCAAACACAGTATGTTAGCCAAATGGCCAAAAACTCCTGAATGGAGATCACGCAGACATTGTGTATGGAGGAGTCTGTCTGCTGAAAGACTCTGACGGGAAGAAACCTGTGCGGTGATGTTTACTGCAACGTGAGGAGTTAACCAAGTGCTTGTGTCTCGTGGACTATAAAAGATGTGTGCAAAAACAAATGTACCACAACCATGTGACCATGATCAAGTGTCGACTGCTTGCATGCTTCACCTATAAAGATTTCACAGTTTAACCGTTAAAAGGATTAAAAGGATACCATACACACCAACCATACGAGGCATCAACTGAAACTAGTAAGCAAACATAAGCATAACAACACACCTGGCTGTTTCTTCTTCTTTTTTTTTTCTTTTGCATCAAAGTTGTCAGGGTCTGAATCATACAATGCTCCTGCTTCAGATTTCCTCTTTTTGTGCTGCATATGCTCATGACTGCTGTCCTTGTCGTCTCCTAATTTCTTTTGTATATCCTGCTGCTTGGTTTGTTTTTCGTGCACAGATTCTTTCACCTCTGTCAAACTCTGTCTCTGCTTCCGTTTCACCTTCTGCTGCAGTTTTGCCAGCAACACCTGACTCTGAGATTCTTGTGAGATGGTTCCCTCTTCTTCTTCTCCTAGATATCTATAAACAACACAAACATTAAAAAATCAACAAGACTTATAGTCATAAAATATTATATCGATTTATGTAGAATAATGCAAGTATTTGCAAAGAACATTTTACATACTGTTGACATCTTACAGTCCATTTACGTTCATGAAATTTAGATTATTTCCAGTTTGCTGGTCAATTTTCAGAATTTAATAAGCAGAAACATTACAAATTGCATACTGTTACATTGCTGTTCACACATTATTTTGTTTCACTTAAAAAACACACATCTTGGGTTTCTGTTTTGACTTCATAGGAAATAACTAGACTGCAATTTCCAATCCTCATGTAGGGCTAGAGAGATAAACAAACTGGCATAAGTAATCAACAGTTGTTCTTTACCTGTTCACAAGAAACAGAGACATTTCAACTTCAGAACTAGTCCCGCAATAAATAAAAAATATAGTTAACGCCTGTTTGTTTGTCCTTTTTCTAAATCACAGTGAAAAAAAAACAAATTACGCCAGTACACATGTTTGGCCGGCATTGGTTTATTACGTCACCTTAAAAAGTCGCATATTTTTTACATCATCTGGACGCGTACAAATCAACATTACATTTCTTTTGCTAGTTCAGTTTTATTTTAATATATAACACATATTATTCTAATAATTATCATATTATCAAGTAAATGTATAATTTAAATTATTTAAATAACAAATAAAACAACTATAACAAAATAGTAATCTATTTGTTTCCAGATCACCACCCTTCCGTTTGGATCTGTCCACGCGACGACGTTACCCAATCAAAACGAAGCAGAAGAAGTTTCAAATCAGCTTTAACACACGACGTCGGTCGGTTACATATTTTCCGATTTACGCGTCGCTGTTTTCGAAACGTCCCAGTAGTTTTTCAGTTTTTACACATGATACAAGAGGACACATAACATAAAAATGGCAGAAGAATCGGCTGTAAAAGTCTGCGTAAGAGTCCGGCCGATTGTTGCGAGGTAAGTCTTTAATTAGTCGCTGCGTACATTATCTAAACTTTAGCTAACATAAAGCTAATAACCGTTAAAAATGTGTGTAAGCGGGACTTGTTGGCTTGAGTATAAAAGCTTAAGCCAACTCTAATTCATTTATTATAACACCTACTGCAATGTTTCCATTAGATATTAGTATGACTGGTTACTTTTAACAAGCTTATAATTTATTTATCGAACACTACGATACATTTTCTTCGTTATTGTTTTTGTTCTGCCCGTCCTGTTTCAAAAGTAAAGTCGTACTTTTCCATTGTACATAAACTAGTAGGCTTGAATTTCACTTAGTGTTTTATTTGGAGCAAATCCTCGCACAGGCATTCAAACTTCCTTGTAAGAGCATTCAGGTAATGATGGCCTTGACTTTTTGTTCTTGTGCCATTTACGTTTTATATATATATATATATATATATATTAAGCTTTATTTAAGCTTCACTAGGATACACCGGGAAATTTTCAGCAGCTTGAATTTGTTCCAGTTCTGCTCCCCACTGACAACTCTAGGACTTGTCAGCAGCCAACAAAAGTCCAGTGATGAATGGTTTATTCCTTCCAGCGTTTGCTCCCAAAATCATGTTAAGTTAAAATCATGTTAAACTGGACCCCTACCCTACTTATATGTGGTACCGGTATGTGGTTAGTGACGCACATATAAAGATATCTTGGCTTTAAATGCTTTCATTTGTTCAGCTCTTCAGGTGCCCCTACATTCTAGATAGTTTTTTTTTAGTCTCATGATAAAACACATCTGTGCTCACTGACTTTTAATACAGTCTGGAAGTTGTTTTTATTTTCTGGCACTAATGATCAATTGTTACGCTGATTGTCCTCCTTTTGTTTTGCACAATGAATTCCTCATTATCACCACCACAGAGTCCAGCTTCAACTCCCTCCACTTAACACCCACCCCTCCACCATCATTGTCATTTCATAACTTGTTAGAGCCTCGTGCTGGTGAAGATTCTGTCATCCAGGACTTGGAAAATCCCCCAAAATGGTTAAAAACAAAACAACTGGACTTTATTATCTAGCTAAAGACGTTTCGCTTCTCATCCGAGGAGCTTTCTCAAAGAATGGAGATTGTGGAGTTTTGAGTTATAAGTTGAGGTGTTCTGCAAACTAGATTCAGGGGCTGTTTACATGACGTCCCACCACGTTCCCTGAGGTCAGCGAACCAGTTGCTCCTCACAGTTCCAGGAACTCGTCTTAAGCGCAGAGGTGACAGGGCCTTCTCTGTAGCAGGACCAAGACTCTGGAACGAGTTACCTCTGCTTGTAAGACAGGCCCCCTCCCTCTCGGTTTTCAAGTCCCGTTTAAAAACTCACTGCTATTCAATAGCTTTCAACACAAGATGATCTGTGTTTTGATCCTGTATGCTCCACACTGGTTTGTCGTCATTATCTGCATCGTTTTTTGTCTATATTCTGATTTACCTCATTTTGTATTTTGCTTTGTGTGTTACCTGTTGTTTTGTCTGCACAACACTTTGGTTGGCTTTGTAGCTATTTTAAGTTTGTTTTGTATTGAAACCCTGGCACAACAATTTCCTGCAGGATCAATAAAGTTCTTCTCTTTCTTTTTGTCAAAATGATGTGTGCAAATTCAGCAAAGCATTAAGGTGACTTTATAATTACTCAAATTTATCTTTCAACACAATTGTGCAAACTAGTGGAAAACCGCTTGTGGTGGTAATGTTTTATTTTGCAATTCTACTGTAAGGTCTTTAAAGCACAATGGAACTATTACTGGTATATTTTTGTGGGAGTGATGTTACAAACAAGCACTGCATTTTAACATTCTTTTATTTATTTATTTTAACCAGGGAAGAATTGACTGCATTGGAGAACACAGAGCCTCAGCTGTTTTGGAAAGCTGATAAAAAGTCAATTCATCAGGTTGATGATGGAAGCTCCAACAAGAGTTTTAGTTTTGGTATGCTTTGCAGCACTCATCGACTTTTTAAAATGTTTTGTGATCCATTTGATATGCTCACTTTAGTACTGGTAACTGAAGTGTATTTTACACTTTGTTTTTTTGTTACAGACCGGGTGTTCACAGCTGAAGAGACAACCAGTCAGCTTTACCAGGCTGTTGGAAACCCTCTGGTTGTTTCCACGGTTGGAGGATATAATGGTATGTGTGATGAAAAGAGGATTTATGGAAATTTGTTATTTGTGTATGCCACTAACTTTAGCTGCTTTTTTGTGTCTGTTTGCTTGGAAGGGACTGTATTTGCCTATGGACAGACTTCATCTGGAAAGACCTTCACTATGATGGGCAGTGACCATAACCCCGGAGTCATTCCTATGGCTGTGGAAGATGTCTTTAAAACTATTAAATCTGTAAGGATAGTTGAGCTTATTTGAAACATACTGGAATATACTACACACTTATACATTTCTAAACAATAGCTCTTTTTTTATTTTATTTTTTTTATTTCAAGTTTCCAAATAAGGAGTTCCTTCTCAGAGTGTCTTACATGGAGATCTACAATGAAACTGTGACTGATCTGCTTGTTGACAGCTGGAAGAGAAAACCTCTGGAAGTTAGAGAAACGATCAACGTAAGTGACATTTGCTGTTTGTGGTATGGATCTTCTTAAATATGAGGTTCTAGGTTTAGTTTAAAAGTTGAGGCTGTCCACATGGAGAATAAGAACTTCACCAGATGATTTCAGGTTGTCAGTCATTTGTTGGATCCATCTCCAACAAATGGAGATTGTGAATGAGTTGCTCACTAAAATGTGCCGATTTCTTTTGTTTCATCAAATCTCGTTGAGTGTGTGAACCGTGCTTTGCTGTTTTGTGTGCAGAAAAACATCTATGTGGCTGATCTGACGGAGGAGCTGGTCACATCTACGTCACAAGTTCTCGCCTGGATCAGGAAAGGAGAAAGTAGGATTTGATATTGTTCATGAAAACAAATGTTTTATAGCAGTAGCTGCTGACTAAGTCACATCCTCTTTGTTTTCTTCATAACTTACCTTTCTAGAAAGCCGTCAATACGCAAAGACAAAGATGAATCAGCGAAGCAGTCGCTCACATGCCATATTTCGGATGGTAAGCGTGCCACCATTTTCATCTTCATTAGAGATTTGGGTAGTTCTCTTATTTCAAACTTTTTTTTTTTTAAATTAATTATTTTTACTATTATTAGATCATAGAAAGTCGGGAAAGAGGTGACCCAGCATCAGGAGACAACACTGATGGAGCCATTATTGTGTCTCATTTAGTAAGTTACTGGACTTTTTTTACTTTGCGTCTACTGTACCTCCTATTTCACGTCCATATGATCGTTTGCTTTGTAAAAAAAATGACCCCTGATGTTTGTCGTCTAGAATTTAGTGGATCTAGCTGGGTCAGAGAGAGCGAGTCAAACAGGAGCTGAAGGTAAACTGAAATGATATACAGTTTTTTAAAGCTGCAATACAAGCTTGACTTAACGGTAAATGTGATGGAATTTTATTTAAAGTACACTACAAAGCCTGGAATGCCATTTTATTTCATTATTGCTGAGGCAGAATGAAGGGTTAAAGTTGACCCATCTGTTATGCCTCTGAGCCAGTTATGGATACTGGGTGGCTTGTAGTGCTCCACTCAGAGCTGCTGACAATCCTCTCCTCTGGTTCTCTACTGCCTTAAACCCAGCTCAGAAGTGTTGTGTGAAAAAGAAACTGTCCAGATGATATGATTAATCTTTTTTTGTGAGGCTTTGGAGTCTATTCAGTGAATGCAACTGCACTTTTTTTGTTATCCTAGGCGCACGCTTCAAAGAAGGTTGCAATATAAATCGCAGTCTTTTCACACTTGGTCAGGTGATCAAGAAGCTAACCGATGAAAACCAGAAGTAAGTACCGTAGATTATAGATATTCAAGACACTTAAGTTTTCTTTCCATAACTTGTGATTCTTGCTCTTAATTATGGTACATATTCTTCTATTCAAAAAGGTTGCTAGCCCAATTCTCCCCGTTAATCAAAGTACAGTAGTCCCTCGTTTATCGTGGGGATCCGTACCCTGAAGCCCCGCAATGAGTGAAAAACTGCGAAGTAGTAACTGTACTACAAGTAGTAAGTAGTAGAAAAGAGCACAGAATGTCATGATTTCCCTCTCTGTGCCTCCGCTGCTCTCAGCCATCTGCAAACGCTCTCGGCCACGCCCACTTCTCCGCACTGCAGCAGATCAGCTGCAGCAGGAAGTTTATCCTGCAGTAAGGGCTGCACAGGAGGAAGCTTTTTCTGCAGCTCTGGGCTGCACAAAAGAGCAGCATGTGCTAAATAATTTAATTAATTTAATTAAAAAATTCCATGCCCATCGTGCGACTCATCCATCAATCAGCCAATTGTGTGTCACGTACAGTCTTATTTTGAAAACCCGCAGTGGAGTGAATGCGCGATGAACAAACCACGAAGTATCGAGGGACTACTGTAAATTTCAGTCAGCTTTTGTCATACAGAAAGATCTGACCACATTATCTCACATTAGTGATTACATCGTCACAACAAATGAGGAGTTTATTTAGTGCAGTATAGTGAGTAGTATATTCTTATATTTTCTGTTAAATTATTTTTATTTCTTTGAATTGATTTTCTCTGAGTACTCTGATTTCCTCCCACATACCAAAAACATGCATGTTTACCTCCTAATACATTTATCAAGTTAGTCCCTCTAGAATTCATTCTCATTTACAACAGTGAGCTCACCAAGAGGCAGCAACAGGGACCTAGAGGAAAACAACTGATGTTTTTTTTATTATCCTAAATGAACATTGTTGTCTTTAGTGGTTTCACCAACTACAGAGACAGCAAGTTGACTCGCATCCTGCAGAACTCTCTGGGTGGAAATGCTAAAACTGTCATCATCTGTGCCATCACTCCTTTCACACTGGAGGAGACCCTCAGCACTTTGCAGGTTGGAGAAACTGTCCCCCTACACACACCAACTCTGCTTTTTAAATAAGTTTGACTTGACTAACTGTGCTTTGACATTTCACTCATTTCATCATTTATGAACAAAAAGTTGCACTTTTTTTCTTGAATTTCTCTGTATCGTTTTTCCGTCTTTCTTTCGTAACAATACTTGAATAATGTCAGGTTAAAGTAAATCAGTCACTTTGTTTTAAACCAAACTCTGAAGTCTAATCAAAGTAAATGGTAAATATGAAAATTATCCTTTCTGTTAGTTTGCCAGCACAGCAAAGAAAATGAAGAATGACCCACACGTAACGGAGGTGTCAGATGACGGAGCTTTGCTCAAACGTTATCGTAATGAAATTGTCGATTTAAAGCGACGACTTCAGGAGGTAAGTATAATCTTTTATTTTTTGGTTCAGTCAGGTTTTGTCTTTTTTGTTTGCTTGCTGTTTTTCCCACCACAGCTCTCGATCTGACTCGTTTGTGATCTCACACAGGTTACCTCGGTCACACACACCACAGTGACAGAAAAGGAGGTTCTGTCTCAGCTCCTACAAGAGAAAGACCAGCTCCAGAGAGAACAAGAATACCGGATCAGGAACCTTACCCAACTGCTTGTTACCAGTGCAAACCTAGCTCCTGCTCAAAAGGTCACTACTGCAGGGATAAAGTGAATATTGCCATATGTCTTCTGCACCGTCAGTGTTCTAATGAGTTTTGTTCTGTCATCAGATGCGTAAACGCAGGGTGACGTGGGCTGGAAAACTGTCCAGACTTTCCCATCAGCCTGCAAGTGACGATGATGGGATGTCTGACTTGACTTTTGGAGAACCTTTCAGTCGGAAGGGGAAAGCACATAACTCCTGTTTGACAGACATAGGTGAAGGTAAAGAGCAAAACAAATAATTTCAAAACCTTATATTGTCCTCATGATATTTATATTTTTGATTGAAATCCATGCACGCAATCGTGTTGTTTTGACAGGTGATGAGTTTTCTGATTCTCACTGGGAGATCCCCGAGGAGCCGTCAGATGAAATGGATACGAGTGAGAACTTTGTGACTTTTCGCAGATTTGGCAACAGGTGAGTTTCTGAACAGTTAGTAAAACTGTGGCTTGTTGAATAATTCAGGAAGGTCTCTTTAAAGTTAAAATCCTTAGCAGTGGTGGCGTCCGTATCAATGAAATCATCCAGATTTTGGTCAGCGTTGCTTCCAGCCTCATTCCAACATGCATGAATGTTAATGAAAATATTGCTATAAACTTTGTTTTCTTTTTTTGTTTAAACGTGTCAGTAAATACTGGATGTGTAGAAAGTATTTCACCTACTGTGCTTTTATCTAGAGTAACATTTCAAGTTGACAAGTTTTGGTCATAACTGAATGTTTATACTAGAGGTTCTCAATTTTTTTGCATTCAGGGTAGAGCTGCGATTTCTAGCCCGACCCATTGTTATGGAAATGAACAAAAATACTTTTGTTTTTACATATTGTATTCAGTACTGTTAGTTAGTTTTCATTCTTGTGAGGATTTGATTACACTAAGATACCAGTAGCCACTTTATTTATGGCTTCTGGACAAAACATCTTTTTCTTCTGCTGAAGACTCGATCTTTGCTCTTATTCAGATGAATAATCTCTGCCATCCAAAACTTACCCAGTTAGTTTGCTTATAACTCACGATTTCACCTTAAGAACTGATTTCAAACTGAGCAGCAATGCAGAGATTTTTGCCCTGAATCAAATTTTTTTTTTCATTTATTTTTGTAGCTTCAGTACCTAGAATATTGATATATTCTCCTAATTTTATCCACGAGGCACGTGTGTCCACACAATATAATTTTAACACCGTCCAGATTGAAGAGTTTACAGTTAGTTCAATAGGAAAATGTGTTTCTAATGTCTCAAAGCGCCTCTAATCTTAAATAAAATTAGTGTTTCATGTGAACTCTTCTTTTTGTAAACCTTTTTCCCACTGCTGTCAGTTTCACATTTATTCCTCCATAAATGTGGTGATCCTGCTGGAAGTTTCCCAGGCTGCACAGGTTGAGTTACAACTTCTATAGCTGCTGTTGCTATTTACAAATGCAAAAAAGACTATTCTGTGCAACAACAACAACAACAAAAATTAAAAAAGCTAATGTAATAAGAAATTAAGTTATTTAGATTTTAGAGGCTACTAATTTATGCATGAACCGCCTTTAATTTTTTGAGATTGGGGCTGTTTTAAGAATGCAACACTTTGTTTTTGTATTGGCCCATAGCTTGTCAGTCAGAATTAAACTGTTTTGCCATCGACCACTTATTAACAAAGCTTTTGATTGATCATAATGTGTAAACAGAATGCCACTTCAAAGAATAGGAACTATTACTTTACTACAGCTAACATTGCATCATGTCTCAATATTTTAACAGACATGTCTTAAGTCAAGACAAATGCGTTACCGGTACATTTTTCTCCTTATTCCTTTATTCTTGACTTAAGACAAGAGGAGTAATGAGGAAAATGTAACATTTTTGTTTTAAAAGACACTTAATCCCCAAACCCTTTAATTTAGATGCAATTCTATGTTGTGTATTTGGTCTGTATAGTTACTACGTTCAACTTGATATCAAACTACTACGAGAAACAAACCTATCTTTTAATGTTTACCCTGAAGCCATTTGAATCTTGTGTGTTCTGTTTAGTTCCACAGACTTTGAGTCTCCTGAACCGATAAATCAGTTTTCCAAGGAAGTGACCGACTTGAAGTTGCAGCTGGAGGCTGAAGTCCAACAGAAAGAGGAAGCCAACAAAAAAGCAGAAACTTTAGAAGGTAAAGTGGCAGAGCTGCAGTTGCAGCTCCAAGTAGAAGCTCAGCAGAGAACGGACTCTATCGAAAGAATGATGGCGGCGGAAAAGACTGTGGCAGACCTGGAAAGACACCTTCAAACGGAAGCTCAGCAGAAAGAAGACGCCATGGAGAAAACTGTAACGGCTGACAAGAAGGCAGCAGACCTGGAAAGACAACTCAGCCAAACTGAACAAAGCCTGGCTGAATCTAAATGGGTAATTTAAAATACATGCCTCATATCTGCTTTTTAGCTTTGGAACGTAACGCTCACATTATGATGTTGTTTTCTAGATGACAATGGAAATGGCAGAAATCATTCAGATGTGTGAAACTTTGGCTTCAGAGAAGGTAACAATTAACAGCATTCTTGCTCTTATTTGTTTTCACCTCACTAAATTATTAGAAGGTAACCAAACTTTTATTAACCAAAGGCCACTTTGACCCTTGGGCTACATGTTCTCCACGTGTGGCATACATGATGAAATCCTGCTGCTTTAACACTTCAATCAAACTATTTATTTAGAATATTGTGTGTAGAAAGGACATGGTTCCCATTAAAGAAAGTATTTTAGCAACAACAGCAAAAAGTCAAAATGTTCCAACATGATGAAATGGGAAAGGAAATATTTGGTTTATGTATTTGAAATTATTTAAAAAATAAAAGTATATATGTTATTTACAGGACAAGGTCACTGCTGAGCGAGACTATCTAAACCAGGAGCTGGGGTCGTTTGAAGAGCAGACTCAGAAGTGGAAGCAAGAGATTGCTTCTCTGTCACAGGAGCTAAAGGAGAGAAAGGAACTGAATGAGTTTGAGTGTCTGGAAGCAAACTTCTATGAAGAGCGAGAGGTAAACATTTGATACAATACAAATGCATTCAGACTTTCTTTAAAGAGATATTTCAAATATGCATTTTCTTGAGTGGGGTTTTGAAGAGTTATCAGTAATCAGTGTCTTGCCTGCTGTAGATGGTCATCAGAATGATCTCAGCTTGGAACAAACAAAGAAGTAGGACCCGACAAAGACTGTGGCCAATTTAATCAAATGTTGTTTGTTTGTTTTTTTTGTTTTTTTTACTGGCTAAAACTACTTTTAAAAAAATAGCCGTTTATGCCAACTCAATTTTTATTATTATTTAGCTTTAGTGATTTTAACTCTTATCTTTCATTCCAATGCCAGTTAGGCTTATAATAATAATAACAATAATAATTATAAAAATAATACATTTTATTTGAAGGCGCCTTTCATATCATTCAAGGTCACCAAACAAAAAAAAGAAAGATAAAAACAATAAAAGATAGATATCAATTAAATCAAACACAAGTAATGGTAGATTACATAATGACATTAAACAGAATAAACAAGTATGAAAAAGTGAGTTTTAAGGCTTAACACATTTTGTTTTGCAAAGGCATGTTTTGTGAATATTTTCTGGTAACAAACTGCAGACCAAAATGGTAAACAACCACAGGCTTCTACATAATTATCTATTGCTAAATTGATAAAAGTAAAAAAACGATAAGTTCACAGAGCATCAAAACACGTCCCTTGTTTTTAAAGGTTGGTCTTTCGTATGACACTAGGCTTTTATTTTTGATCATTAAAATGGGACTGACATTTTTATGATAATTATCAAAATGTAAGGGAAAATCCTAGTGTTTGTCATTTCAAATGCTTAATTTTTGTTTGAATTAACTATCCATCATTTGTCTTTAGCTCTTTAACTACCAGTAGTTTTATTTTTTACACTGTTCTCTTTTAATTAAATTTTATAGAACGAGCTACAAAATGAATTAAGTTGCCTGAAGACAGCCGTCAAATCATCTGAGGACCAATGCCTGAAACTGCAGGTAAGATGATGATCTTTGAACATGGCAAATGCCTCATTTTTCACTATATTGTCGTGTTACTGTTGTAATTTTATCCCAAATGTACAGCTCTAGCATTGAAATGAGTTTCCTTGTTCACTAGAAAATGACAGTGAATAGTTATGAAGTTTTTCTTTTCTTTTTTTTTTTTTTTTGCTTCAGAACAAACTTCAAACTTTGTCTGAAGAGCTAAAGAAGAAAACTGAATTTGCAGACGAACTTCAGCAAATGGTATGTTTATATTGTTTTTAGTTTTTGATGGATTTTTACTATTGTTTTACATGGCCCTTTATTAAAGTTTGCGTACGTTTTTTTGTTTTTTAGATTTTTTTATGACTACAAGTACACAGTTGTAGTTTACAAAGACGTATTAAACCCAACTTTTATAACGGTGGAGGATGAGTTGACTGTAGTCAGCCTCATACTTCCTTTAAAAAGACAGCTTAGCTTTAATATATACAGCAGGTAAAACACCAGTACCTGTTCCTACCACAGACTATTTTTAAAACAACTAGACTCACATTGACATTCATTAATACAGTATAATGTATGTAAAAAGTGTAATTTTGAAATTTTACTGAATGATTCAAATGGTTGGGTCTACCCCAGACTATTTGCTTTCCAGAAACCTCACTGATTGCTTACCTAAAAATAAATATATGTGCAAAAAGACTTGACTTCAACTAGAGAAATTGCATTTCCTGTGAAAATGCAGTGTGAACATTCATTCAGCCTTTATTTAGACAGGTTAATCCCATTGAGCCTCGAGGACTCATTTACAAGAGAGACCTGATTTTAACAAAGCGTGATGACAACAGTGGATAACAATGACGACAATAGACAATCATAAAAGAGGCATACAGATTTTATCTTTTTTTTTTTTTTTTTTTTACAAATTAAAATATGGCAAAAAAAAATAGTAGCAAAAACAGCTAGATTATAAGGCGAATGTAGAAATTGTTGTCGTTATCTGCTGTTATCACTTAAAGAAATATTGACGAACTTGTTGAGAAACAGCTGAAAATATCTTTAAAAAAAACTTGAAAGCTGCGTCATAACAAGAAATTGTCCGTGCGTTTTCCATAATCGCTGAACAAATTAACAGGTCTGTGCATGAAGTGCAAAATATGGGAACGACACGGGAACGATCTAAAGAAATGAATGCACGTCTATCTTGGTGGGATGGTCCTGGATTACCTCATTGGTTATTCAGGCTGGACTTGTGGTCACATGATGACAGAGTGGGTGGAATATGAAGCCCTGAGCAAGTGTTGTACATGAGGGCATTCTATCTGTGTCAAAAACACCTGCCCCCCAAAGAGGGATGGTGTTCCTTTTGTCAAAGGAAAATGTTAGTCATCGGCTTGAAGTTACCGAGAGATGACAGGAAATCTGTCAAAATAATATATAAAAAAAGAACTTGTGAAAATTATGGGGGGGGGGGGGGGGGAATACAAAATTTAGTCGCTCCTGCATATAAAATGCTGGGTACAAAGTGTGAGGAAAAGTAGCCGCTGTACACACCGGCAATTATGGTAAGTATAAAATGGCATGAAAATTAGGAACATTGCTAAAAAAGAAAATAACATAAATTATTCAAAAAAACAAACAAAATGAGCTGAAAAATAACTGAAAAGTCAGAAACAAGCTAAACAAAATTAGCATAAGAACAGCTAAATAGTAACTTAAATAGCAGAAAAGGATGAAACTTGCATAAATAATCTGAAAGGAGCATAACCTACTTAAATTAGCAGGAAGAAGTTAGAAGAAACATACAAATGTTGTAGTTAGTAGAAAGAATCTGAAAGGAGCACAAAACTACTGAAATTAGCTGAAAAACATTTGAATTTACAAAAGGAAGCTGAAAGAAGTCAAACCAGAACAAAATGTGAAAGGTTTCAGTAAAAGGTTATAAACAGATCTAAAGATTTAAAAGATATAAAATTAGCTCAGTTCATTTTCTATGAGAAAACATGACTGAAAAGGCTAAATATTTCAAAAAGCTAAAGCTGCACCAGCACCAAAAGTCATTGCAGGATTGTCCTGAAAGAGCTGAACGTTTTGAATTATGATTTGTTTAAATAGCGCAAAACTTTTTGAACGAGAAAAATGCTGAAAAACGTACAGAAGAGTTTAGAAGTGAAAACTGGATCACTAAAGTGTGAATGCAAAAAAGTTAAATCTGGTCCTCTGGACATTCAAAAAAACAAAACAAAGCAAAAACATATAGAAACGTTTTTTTGTTTTTTGTTTTTTGTTTTTTTGAATGTCCAGAGGACCAGATTGAACTTTTTTGGATTTTTCTACCTGGATTATTGAGCATGCATCAGGATAAAGTGTGAATGCTTAACACGCATTCACACAATTACAGTACTGCTGATTTTCTAAGCAATTGGGTTTAATGCTTATAAGATTATTTATAACAACCACAGATTTATTTGTTTAATAAGAAAATATTGACCTTCAGGCTTGTGCTGAAGCTGCAGGTGGAATTACTACTGGTGTTTGGACTGCAAGCGGGTTGTGGATTTGGATGTAAAAAAAGTTGATTTTAAAGCTAAGAATGTTGATGAAAAAGTGAGGCTGAATTGTTTTGTGCTCCGTCTGCAGAGTGGTAAGGACTTGGTGCAAGAAGTGGCAAAGCTGCGTCGCTCTCTGGATGATGCGGAGGGAGTTAGCAGAGACACAAAGAAGGAATGGGCCTTTCTTCGGAGTGAAAACATTGCATTGGAGGAGCTGAAAGTAAGTGAGAGTGCTGTTTTTTATTTTGGGGGTAAAGTGCTGCGAAAGTGTTAAAATACTCGAGTCCAAAGTATTTTGTCACATCCATCTGTCTTGTCTCAAAGTAAACTTTCTAGATCAGGGCTATTCAACTGGTGGCCCATGGGCCACTTCTGGCCTGCCGATGACTTCAGTTCAGTCCAGTCCACCGATGAGTTCATCATTTTTTTAAATTAATTTATTTATTTTTTGGGTTCTGTTTATTGCATTTATGATTCAATTCAATAAGACAAACGAATTTGAAAGGTAACATATCATTATAATACTTGGTTTATTTACATGACTAATTGGTGGATGTCTGGCCCTGGCCTGATCTGCTGGCTTTCAGAAACGGTGGCCCCCTGAGCAGTTTAGATGAATAGCCCTGTTCTAAAACACACACACAATTTATGAACTAATGCCTTGTTATCAGACATATCATGCTACATTATGGGCAGATAACTAGCAATATATTTATTTAGAGTCAAAATATGGCTTGTGTTCCTTTTTTTAATGTCCAAGCTTTATTTTGTAATGTCAAAAATAGATTGAAAACTCAGAAGTCTAGAAATTTTTGTTGAAAATATTCAGGAGTGTTGAACGTGTATTTCAGTATAGCTTAGTCTTTAGAAAAATATGATTTCATTATTGTAAGCAAAAATATCTATCGTACTGTTTTGAATCTTAACAGTGAGTTTTTACAACATGTAGCAAACAAATGGTTAAGAACACGTTTCTTTTCAGTATATGCAGAAAATCTTGCCTTCAATTTTTGTTGTAGTCACACGTTTCAGCTCGGTTTCATTCATACAAAATTCCTCCATGTTACTATATTTTCTCATGATAATCTTTTCTAGCTTTTTAAATCTGTATTGTGTTTTCTCCAGGTGAGCTTGACTGCCAGGCAAGAGAAGATGGAGGCTGAGATGAACAGACTGCTTTCACAACTAGAGACGGAGAAGTCTCGCTACAAAAAGATGGAGACTGATCTCCAGAAAGAGCTCAATATTGTCTTTGATGAAAACTCAAAGCTCACCACTCTGCTAGACGGCAAAGTCCCACAGAGTAATTTTATATTTTGTGTGTTTTTAAAATATGACATGAGATTTGAAGGCGTTTGGGTGTTTAAAATCAAGTGGGAGTCATGAGTCTTTGTCTGCAGATCTGATCGACAGTGTGGAACTTGGAAGAACTGTAGCCAGACTGGAGAAGGAGCTGGCAGCATCTTGTGAAGCAGAGAAAGCTCTCACAGCTGAGCTGGATAAGCTGGCTTCATTCCAGACTCTTCCAGTTCAGGTGGAGAACTTAACAAAGCAGGTAAATATGGAAACATAATTGTTGGATAATTTAATTACCCTTTCATCATTTCATTAATCAAATAAGCCACTTAGAGGATCCAAGAAGATTTTTCAAATTGGTTTTACTTGCAAGGGCGCAGTATTGAAAACTGGTTTACAAAGATGTTACACGAAGCTCTGGTCACAATGTTTGCCTGCAGACAGTATAAAGAATTGTCTATAACACTTTAGGGCTGCACCTAATTAATATTCCAATAATCGATTAATTGGTCTATATCCCCCCCCCATTAATTGATAAATCTGCACAAAAAAAAAATATCCACCTCTTTATTCCAAAATTGACCATTTGACTGACATGACAAATCGCACAAAAAAACAGGTCACTACTGGACTATTCTGTTAGTAAAATATTGAATAATAAAAAAAAATTAAAAAGTTTGTCAAATAGCTTTACTAAAAAAATTAATGTACACAAAAAATGTATACAAATGTATGCTTTATACCTGCACAATATGTAGGCTCAGGCTGTAAAATATGTCCTTGAGAGAAGAATATATAGCCTATTGTTTGATAAGATGGTTTCTGGGGCCCGCCCTCTCCCCTGTCGACCCCTCTGATGCAGCCATAGTCAAAATGGTTCAAAACGTTGTTAATATCATTTGTGGTTTTCTTGTTTGTTAATTTCTATATTTTATTGTTTTATCTAACCGTATTGTTTCCCTTCCCTTGACCCTACAAGTGCATGTTGGTGCTGACAAACCAGCACTGTAAATAAGAATTTGTTCTTAGTGTTTGTGCCTGGTTAGATAAAGGAGAAAAAAAAATGGTGCTACAAAAGTCCTCTGTATCTAAGAGCATAAACATTTTGTTATTCTTCTCTTTCAGGTTTGTGACCTGACTGAGGAGCTGCAAAATGTCCAAAATCAGAAGGACGACCTGCGTTCAGGTCGAGCTCAGTGTGAGCAGGACGCTCAGCAGCTACGAGACGTCCTGCAAACATTAAAGGAGGAGATGCAGAGAATTCAAGCAGATTTTGATGTTTCTGCTCAGAAGGAGAGCGAGCTGAGGCATCAGTGCGAGGATGTAACTCAGCAGCTGCATTCACTTCACTCAGAGCTGGAGCGATCCGAGGTTGAGAGGAGCCAACTTGTAGCTTTTCTTGAAGAAAGGGACATGAAGGTAAATTTAATATTATCGTTTTTTTTCTATGATTAAGATTCGAGTTTTCATTTCTAGCTCAGAGCTTTCACAGTTTATATCAGAGCTGTCGTGGTTTGGGGATTGCCGACGTTGGTAGACTTTTGCAGGTGTAGTTCCATGTTTCACCTCTACACACTGAATCTCAGATCTGTCCATTTTCACAGCTGAAGCAGCTGCATGAAGCACTTGAATGTGTGCAGACAGAAAAGGAGGCTCTCCTGTCTGAACAGAGGGATGCAGAGGAGATTAAGAAGCTGCTCTCCACAATATCATCCCTGAGAGCAGAAGGAGACGAGCTCAGGACAAACCTGCAGACACATGTGGACCAGGTGACTTGAGTACTTCATTTCTACATAGTAACATTACACACATCTCCTAATATCCTAGAATTTTTATATCTCAAAACCACTCAATACACATAAACTGCTTTCAGGAAGCGCCCTGAATATTCATTTGAGAATATATTTGAAAGTTCTGTTCTGCCCACTTTTCCTAGTTCAGTCTTATTTGTATTTATTTTCTTCTTGATTCATTACTAGATTTGCAAATTAAAGTCTTTCATTCATCCCATTTTGGGTTTATAAACACAACTTGTTCTTATTTCAGGCCACAGAGACAAATGTTTTGTTACAACATCTTCAACAAGAGCTTCAAGAACAAAAGCAAAAGAACTCTGATCTGATGAAAATATCTGAGCAGAAGGAGAGTGAATTAGAGGAAGATGTACGTAAATATGATGTTGTTTGAGAAAGCTTCATTATTTGTTATCAACCACACTGACTGATGTGTCCTTTTGAGATCAGATACAGAGATTGTCTCAAGAGCTGCAGGCTGTGCAGGATCAGAAAGCAGCTCTGCAAACAAGCAGCTCTGAGAGCTCTGCAGAACAGGTGGAGACGCAGCTTTCTACTGCAGCTTCTCTCGCAGCAGAAAGAAACCAGCTCAAAGTGGATCTACAGGAGAATGTTGAGATGGTCAGTTTGCATACAGTCTGGTGGAAATAGTAAAGTTATTTAGGTGCCTGCTGATAACTTGAATGTTCTCTAACAGATGTTGAGAGTTGAGGACAGGTACATAGCAAAAAATAAAGAGCGCTAAAGTTGGTAGATTATTCTTGAAACTGGCTTAAAACTGTAAACTTTGGTATAAAGACCTTGTGAAATCTAATTTAGACATCAAGAAAGCGACTTCGTTACATATATATATGTGTGTGTGTGTGTGTGTGTGTGTGTGTGTGTGTCAACATTTCATAGTGAAATCAACAATACTTTTTTTTTTTTTTCTCACTACCTTACAGGTAAGAACTTTGACTGAAGAGTTTGAGAATCTGCGAGCAGAGAGAGATGCTCTGATGTCTGAGAAGGAAGCCAGCAGTCAGACCAACACAGAGGAGATGGAGGAGCTGCAGCACAAAGTGACATCTCTCAGGGAGGAGAGAGATCAGCTGCAGGAGGATCTGGAGGCACTGAGAGAGCAGGAGAAGCGGCTCAGAGCTGAGCTGGAGGTGAGGAAGTTCTCTCCAAGGGTGACCAGTAAGGCTTTAGTGTGTTGTGGTGTGCACAAACTTGATGCAGTTCCTGTTTTTACAGGAACAGATATTCCAACAGCAGCTCACCTCTAAACCACAGCCATTGACAGACGAGCAAGAATCCTATCGACTGCAGGTTCAGACACATCATTCTTTATTTTCCTCCTATGGTGTCTAGTTGTGCGAACGTTTATGAAGCATTCACACTATTGTGATCCATTTATCTTCCATACATTTTTCAGCATCTTTCTCGTTCTGCAATTTTTGTGCCATTTCAACAAATCATATATCAAAACGTTCAGTTCATTCAGGACAATCCTGCTATGATTTTAGGTATTTGTATAACTTTAGATTTTTGAAATATTTAGCCTTTTCTGCCATTTACTTTCTTAAAGAAAATTAATTAAGCTCATTTTACACCCTTCAAATTAGGGATGCACAGTATTGGATTTTTAGCGATATGTTAAAACTTATACCGATATTTTTAATATACTTTGTCAGAATATAGCCCTCTTATTTAGGCTTATTTGCTAAGACCTGGTGACATATTCAGTAACAGCCATATGATATGCATAGCACTTTAACTTATATTAAATGAAAAGTGTTAAATGTTATTCATTAGCATTAGTCACCTGCGATGCTGTCTCACTTGTGGAGGCTTGTTCCAGGTTCCTAGCTACAGTGTGTGGGATCCTCTGCACTCTTGTGCCTAAAGGACAGCCTTTTTAAGTTGAAAGTTTTTGTCTATCCATTGTGCCATTAGACTAAAGGCTCCAGTATACTCGCACGTCCTGTCGCAGAAACTCTGCGCACTATGCTCAAAGGGTTGAGACTTCATACTCAAGCATCCACCCGGAGCGGCTACAGTCAGTTCCACAGACCGGACAAATTGAGTTTGTCGATTGGTCATTTGCTGACACGCCTACTGGATTGATTGACAGGTTCTTCTCTCTCTCCCCCCCCCCCCAAAAAAAAAAAAAAAAAAAAAAGAATTGGCAGCTCCAGCCGCAGCGGTGTTCTGTGTTTATATGTTGTTGTAGATGAACAGATGCTCAGATTCATCATTTAACACGGATTCCTCATTTTTCTGGACTGAATAAAACGTGCATTGAATTTAAGGAAATGCAAACGTGAGACGTCATTTATATTTGACCCATCAAAATGAATGCGGTCATTTATTTACAGAATCAAAATTTAACATCAAACATTTACATTAATTTGGCAAATTATGAAAATAACAACATAAGCAATCAATCAGGAAAAATCATACGGCCATGATTTTTCCGTTGCTTCACCACAGCGATGTTATGAAAACTGTACAATTATGATCTTTTACCCACATGAATGTGGGTGAGCATTTTACACAGACATTTCTAAAATATCTGGAAGAATTTCTACTTGATAGAAAAGTTTAAAGATGGAAAGAAGTTTAGAGGGAGTAAGATGGTGTGTGAGGGGTGAAATGTGTTCACCAGAATCGACACTCTCCGGCTTTCTTCAGCTTTTCCTTACAGTACACTTAGGTGATGAAATCGGCTCCTTTACCTGGAGATGTCTCAGGTGAGATTCCGTTTAACGCACCCTTTCAGCGTCTCAGTAGGATGCTGTTACTCGTCCGAAGTAATGGCGAGGCTCTGTTCGACACATATTCACCTCAGTGGAAAATGTTATAATCCCATGGAACTCGGAAGAGCTCTGTTGTCAGGATCATCCCGTCTCTCACAGAACTGGTTGGACTGTGTATCCAGCAGAACTCCAACAGCACTCCAAGACCGACTTCAACAGAACCAAGACCGAGTAGACCAGGAAGTACTGACATTTTAAAGAGCTGTTTCCCGGTTCACTTTTGGGATTTGTTCATTGGTCAGAAACGACCAGACGGGGTGTGTTTTGTGACGTAAGAGGTTAGAGACAGCGAGAATTGTTATGAAACAGATCAGAAATGTTCTCACAGACAGAGAGAGTTTTGTTTTGGCGCTGTTTCAGCAACAGGTGCCAAAACTTCTCTATTTACGTCTGAGAGGATTCTAAAAACATGACAGTTTTAACATAACAACTTGTTTTTCGTTTGACTCCAACCTTGGAAACGCACACTTGCTCACTCAAAGGCAGAAATCAGAAAATGCATAATTATTCTGTTACAGCTTTGACATGAGAATAAAAATCATTACACAGTTAATAAAATTGATTAGTTCACTGCCACCTCTAAAATGGTTTGAACTAAGACACTTTGATTATCAACATTTGAAAAATAGTAATGATAATAAAAAGAGAGTGTTCTTTTCACTTGAATCTTCAAGAAAGAAAGTCTCAGGATGGGTGAACCTGTATTTCTGAGTTCAAATGAATGAAATGACAGTTCCTGTCCCACAAGGTTCTTAAGGTCAAGATTTTTGACCTTAGACTTAGTTTTTGACATGGGCCTAGTCCACTACAGTCCCCCCTTTGGAAATCATCACCTGTCCATGGGGATGAATTCCAACTATGGACTTACGCCGTCAATTGTCCTTGAAGCTTGATGTAATCCAGCAAAGAAACAAGAGTCAAGAGTAATCCAGCAAGGAAAACAAAAGTCAAGGTAATTCCACAATGTTCTCGGTAATTCCATTGTGTTGATTATAATCCCACATCGTCTCGATAATTCCATTGTAGCAATGCTTTAACCCCTTGAAAACAGAGTCTGTAATCCATTGGAAAAAGTCATATAATCCACAATGGTAAATCCACAACGATTGGAAGTGTTGATTAATCAGCATACAGAGGGGTACCCTTGGGTTGAACTGAAGAAGCGGCCACTGGATGAAGAGTGGAGACCAACGTCAGGATTGCAGGTCGCCTCCAGCGAAGGTTGTCTCCAGCGACGTCCAGCCTGTGTCGTTCTGGTTCAAATGTGTCATGCAATTATGTGGTTTAAGGTGGGCTTATGAAGGTGATTTTACATAAGGCCTTAAACTATATGCACCTGGTGTGTAGCTATTATGGTTGGGAACAGCTACGACTACCAGTTAAGGGGTGGACCATGCTGAAAAGGGGTAACTACAGGGGTTTAAGCCTATAGAAAAGGTTTCCAAACTACTTTTCCATTTCTAACTTGGGTTAAGTTAGCCTTACATGGCAAAATATAGTTTGGTTCAAATGTCTGTTGTCTTTTAGACGAACGACTTGAGATTGGGTGTTTGGTTTCCCCATAAATGTTTTTGGAAGTCTATGGCGAGACTTATCAAAAAGAATTAGCTATCCCCCCCCGAATAGAATTGTTCGAGTAGGTTCGGCTTAAGCGATGTGAGATCAATGTAGATTATGGTACTTAAGGTAACAATAATATACATTGACTCCGCAAGGATTGCAATTTAGCGAATGAACTTCATGTTGGCATGGTTAAAGGCCTCTTAGTCTCTAACTTAACTTACACACAAGATTCATTCTTACCTCAGAAACAACCAAAACCAATTCAACAACGTTTCAACACCGACAAGAGTAGTGACTAAGCA